GCATTTTATAATTTTTATTTAACAAATTAATAAACATTCAAAAAAAAGTAAGCACGAAGAGCAAAAAATGAATAAATTTATACACATCAATGAAAATTTTTTATTTTGCAATATAAATAAAGCAAAAAAAAAAAAGCACAGTCACTAATCATTTTTACTTTTGAGAAACTGTTATAAGCAAAAAGTCAATCAGTTATAAGGGTAGTTGGAAGAGAGGTAAATTTTTGGGTAACATTTGTAATTGCCAATGTTTGCTGCTGTTAATGATTCTGTTTCTGTTGCTGTTACTGTTGCTGATGAGACTTCTGCTTGATTCTTTGGCAGATGGAAAATCACAAAAAATTTGCTCATCTTTAGCGATTTTCACCTCTAAATTTCTTAACTATTAAAAAAATTTTTTTTTGTTATTGCATTTAGTCTTTATTCAATCTGAGAAAAAAACTACAAAATTTTTGATTTTTACTTGATTTATAACGAATTTTTTGGTTATGCATATTGATCAATAGTTCCCGAACGGTCATTCAGAATCATAAGAAAACAATCAAAGAAGTTGCAGGGTTTCAATTTCAACCTGTTAAATACAATATGTTAACCAACAACTCAAAAATTTATTTAATAAAAATTTATCTGAGAAGAAAGTTAAAGGAACACCATTTAAAGATAGGAAATTTTGAGAGGATAACATTGTTTTCCAGACAACACAACTCTTTTTTTCAAACTCTGTGCGCAGTTTATAGTTCATTCTTATACTTTTTTTGCATAATTCAATAAAGCTGTTCTTCAATAATTATTTTTATTCATTTAATTAGAAGCATCCAATTATATTTTAGTGTGAAAAAAATGATTACTTCTACAGCACAGAAAAAAAATAAAAATAAGAAATATCAAACATAAAAAAAAACGATACAACTGACGACAGGTATTTATGGTCAATACAAAGTTAAAAACTTCATGAATTTCAATAATTGTTAATAGATTATAACAGATTCAACAGTAATTGGTTTCTTAAATATGACAAATTTGCAATAATATTATCGTAGCATTAAACTCATCGAAAAAAAAAAAAAAAAAAAA